CCAAATTCTTGAAGAGCTTTACAAGTTAATGACAATGCAAACTAGAGTCTTCATTGTCCACATGAGGACGGATCTATCATCTAGGTTATTTGCAAAGGCCAGAGAGATTGGAATGATGACCGAAGGCTATGTTTGGCTCACTACTAATGGGATACCTAATGAATTAAGGTATCTAAATTCTTCAGTCATCAGTTCCATGCAAGGTGTATTGGGTATACAAACTTATGTTCCACAAACAATAAAGCTTGAAGAATTCATGCCACGGTGGAAACGACAATTCCAACAAGACAATCCAACCATCATTGATGCTTCATTGGATGTTTTTGGACTTTGGGCTTATGATTCTGCTTTTGCACTAGCCATGGCAATTGAAGAAGTTGGAACTGCAACCTTTGGCTTCCAAAATACAAATGCTTCCTTCAACTCAGCAGTTCTTGAAAGTTTTGAGGTCTCTAAATATGGTCCAGAACTTTGCCAAGCCTTGTCAACTACTAGATTTGAAGGCATCGCTGGAGATTTCAGCCTTGTTGATGGACAACTTCAATCATCAAATTTTGAGATAGTTAATATAAATGGTGGTGGAGCAAGAGGAATTGGATTTTGGACACCACAGAATGGACTGGTGAAAATATTGGGTTCATCAGCAAACTTCTATGCAAGCAGGCTTTCTTATTAACCTTGGAGACCAAGTTCATGTGCCCATCATATCATTTTCTGCAACAAGCCCTTCTCTTAATTCACTTCGGAGCTCCTACTTTTTTCAATTTGCACAGAATGACTCATCCCAAGTGAAAGCCTTAAGCGCTATTGTAAAAGCTTTTGGATGGAGGCAAGTTGTGCCTGTCTACATAGATAATGAGTTTGGGGAGGGAGTCATACCATTTTTAACTGATGCGCTGGAAGAGGTTGATGCCCGTGTCCCCTACCGGAGTGCCATTTCCCCGTCAGCCACTGACGGCCAAATTCTTGAAGAGCTTTACAAGTTAATGACAATGCAAACTAGAGTCTTCATTGTCCACATGAGGACGGATCTATCATCTAGGTTATTTGCAAAGGCCAGAGAGATTGGAATGATGACCGAAGGCTATGTTTGGCTCACTACTAATGGGATACCTAATGAATTAAGGTATCTAAATTCTTCAGTCATCAGTTCCATGCAAGGTGTATTGGGTATACAAACTTATGTTCCACAAACAATAAAGCTTGAAGAATTCATGCCACGGTGGAAACGACAATTCCAACAAGACAATCCAACCATCATTGATGCTTCATTGGATGTTTTTGGACTTTGGGCTTATGATTCTGCTTTTGCACTAGCCATGGCAATTGAAGAAGTTGGAACTGCAACCTTTGGCTTCCAAAATACAAATGCTTCCTTCAACTCAGCAGTTCTTGAAAGTTTTGAGGTCTCTAAATATGGTCCAGAACTTTGCCAAGCCTTGTCAACTACTAGATTTGAAGGCATCGCTGGAGATTTCAGCCTTGTTGATGGACAACTTCAATCATCAAATTTTGAGATAGTTAATATAAATGGTGGTGGAGCAAGAGGAATTGGATTTTGGACACCACAGAATGGACTGGTGAAAATATTGGGTTCATCAGCAAACTCAAGCATATTTTCAACTCCCAAGAGCAAACTTGGACTTGGACCCATTATATGGCCAGGAGATTCTCTCTCTGTTCCCAAGGGATGGGAGAACCCAACAAACGGCAAGAAGTTGAGAATAGGAGTTCCTGTGAAGGATGGTTTTACAGAGTTGGTTAAGGTAACGAAGGATCCTAGCACTAACATGACAGATGTGACTGGGTTCAGTATAGATGTTTTTCAGGCTGCAGTGGAAATGTTACCGTATGCTCTACCTTATGAGTTCATTCCCTTTGCAAAGTCAGATGGAACCAGTGCTGGCACTTACAATGATTTGATCTACCAAATATATCTTGGGGTAAAATTCTTTGTTTTTCATTACGAACTTCATCCACACATGTCATTTTCTGATTTAACTTTTGATTCAGTTTCTTAATTTGAATGCTGAAAATGATTAACATGTATGTTAAATTAATTTACTGCAGAACTATGATGCTGTGGTGGGAGATACAACAATTAGAGGAAATAGGTCATTGTATGCAGACTTTACCATGCCATACACAGAATCTGGTGTAGTAATGGTTGTGCCAGTCATAGACATGAGAAACCAAAATGCATGGGTTTTCTTGAAGCCTTTGACATGGGACCTTTGGCTAACAACTTGTTGTTTCTTCTTCTTTATTGGTTTTGTGGTTTGGGTTCTGGAGCATCGAATCAATGAAGACTTCCGTGGCACTCCATCACATCAAGTTGGCACCAGTGTCTGGTTCTCTTTCTCAACCATGGTTTTTTCACATAGTAATTCTCCATCACCTCTTTCATATTTAAAAGAAAAATTTTCAAGTATCAAATTAAAGTTGTTCAATAACTCATATTGATACTAACTTTAACAATTTTCTTTTCTGTACTTCTCGAATCTGCACTTTACAGGGGAGAGAGTGGTTAGTAACTTGGCCAGATTTGTGATGGTCATATGGGTATTTGTGATGCTAATACTGACTCAAAGTTACACGGCTAGTCTAGCGTCACTATTAACTGTCCAGCAACTCCAGCCTACTGTTTCAGATATAAAGGATGTTCTAAGGAACGGGGATAATGTGGGCTACGCAGAGAATACTTACATCTACGAACTCTTGAAACAAGTAGGTTTTGATGATTCCAAGATAAAGATGTTTCGATCTTTTGAAGAGTGTGATGAACTTCTTTCAAAAGGAAGTGCAAATGGTGGTATTTCTGCTGCTGTTGATGAAACCCCCAGCATGAAGCTTTTTCTTGCAAAATATTGTACCAAATATGCCATGATCGGACCCATCTTTAAAGCCGCTGGATTTGGTTTCGTAAGATCTCTCTCCTAGTACACATAGTAATTGGCTAATGTATTTCTCATAGTTGCATGCTTGAATTCTTTGATGTGGTAATTCTCTGAGGTGACTTCCTGCAGGCCTTTCCAAAGCGTTCTCCTCTTGTACCCGATCTTTCACGGGCAGTCCTAAACGTGACTGAAGGAGAGGTGATAATGAACATTGAAAACAAATGGTTTAGTGTAGAAAAGAATTGTGTAGATAACTCAAGCCCACAGGTGGCTAGCTACAGTCTTGGCCTTGCTAGCTTTTGGGGCCTCTTCCTCATTGCCGGGGTGGCTTCAATACTAGCTCTCATCATATATGCAGCTTCCTTCCTTCACAAGCATAGGCACATCTTGATGCACCCTGATGATTCAAGAGCCTCTGGATGGAGAAGGATTCGAGCCATGTTCAAGATGTTCAACGAGAAAGAACACAGCTCTCGTATGTTTAAGAGCCCTCAACAGAGAGATGGCATCGCTGGTGCTGGTGATGAAGTTAATGCTGCTGCTTCACCAAACAACAACTGGCCAGAAAGTCCACGCAGCTATATTTCGAACCACGCAGACTTTGCAGAGCAAGCAACTCCATCTACTGGTCAAGTATCTCCAGAAATAGTTTCAGCTGTTGACCATGAGCATGCTATCACAATTGCAAGAACTTGCTGAAGCAGCTTAATAATACAGTTAATATAAATTTTCCCACTTCTGGTGTGACTTGTATACACAAATACCATCCATGATTTTCTATTGATACATTAAGTCAGATGGTGTTGTTATACACAGAGTCTCCTGGGAAAAGTAGCATTGTATATAACTTCTTTGAAGCAAAAAAAGAGTCCCGTTTGGCCTGTGGAGGGTCACCTGCCAGTGCCGAAAGCGGAAAAAGAGTGATGGCGAAAAAAAGAAAAGAACAAATACAAGGTTTTGATGTCTTCAAGCTAGGTTTTTAAATCTGTGGAAGAATGTGATGAACTTCTTTGAAAGAAGGAGAGTGAGTGCAAATGATGGCATTAGATGGGTTCACATGCTTGATTTCTTAAAAGAAATTGAAGGAACGAGTTTGGCCTTGCATTGTTAAATGATGGTAAACAATTATATTATAATGAATGATCTATGAAGTTTCATTCAGTCACCTAACACTTATCCATATTTAGAGTATGGTTTGACTTCAAACTTTATCACATATGAATAGTTTCTATTTTATTATTTTCTTGGGCAAGAAGATGTTTCTTCTTGGGTTAATTGCGTTTATCGTCTTTGCCTTGCAGACAGCTCAAGTTGGTGCAGGTAATTTCCATGGAGAGCCCTCTATTGAGCTTGAATATTATGATCAATTAACAATATATATGTGTGTAGAAAAATTTTCTAGAAAAATAATGAAATTCTTATTTTTTATTTTTGTCGAAAATACTTAATAAAAAAAAGAGGTGGACAAAAGCCCTATAAAAAAGACCCAAATTCACAATGACATGTTACATACAAAAATCATATAAAATATAAGGTCCTTCAAATAACAAATCAGACCCAAAACATAGAACAAAAGGGCCAAACAAATAGCAGCTAGAGCTATAAGCTATAAGCTTTAAGTGTAGATTAGTCTTGTATTATCAACTCATGTTAATTTAATCCAAGTTTTTAATCAAAATGTGAGAGTTTTGGCTTTCCCTTGGCTGCCTCAATTCATATTTGTTCTATCCTTGTACGTTAGTTTTTTTTGGATTTTTAGCATGAAATATTTTTATATGGTGATGAGCAAAATAACACCATTGTATTCCGAAAAATAGAAAGAAATTACAACTAAATTTAATCATGCCAAAGTCCTCCATGTGAAGATATTTTTTTAACTAGAAAAATAATGAAAACCCCTTTGTGGTTTTTTTTAATTTTATATTTTATTTTTGTCGAAAATACTTAATAAAAAAAACAGGTGGACAAAAGCCCTATAAAAAAGACCCAAATTCACAATGATGTGTTCGCTTCAAATAACAAAACAGACACAAAACATAGAACAAAAGGGCCAAACAAATAGTCCATTAAGAAAACATAGAACAAAACAATTACGGAATCGGCTCGTTACCCCAAAGCCCAAAGCCCAATTTCTCTTTCTTCTTCTTCCCTTCGTTTCCTCTGTAGAACTTTCTTTTCATTTGCTTTTGATCAATTCCTGCCCAGAGCTTGAAGGGACGATGCGAGAGCTTCAGCTGTGAACTCGTATGAAAACTCCTCCAATTACGTTAATGGCATGGAAAGCCCAAAGGTAAAAACTTTTTATTTAAAACTTCATTTTAGACATTGTGGGTCTGAAATTCTCTAGGCTCCAGCCTCTAATTGTGTAGTGTCGCTAATTGGATTTGGTGTAAATTTCAACCCTATTGTTAAATTAGCTGTTAATTTTATTCAGTGGAGTTGAATTAAAATTGGGCGTTCTCAAAATTGTTGTTTATATATGCTTTCTTGCTCTATCCTGTCAAAATAAATGGCTTAATTTCATCTTATTTGCCATGCTAAGGTCCAAAGTATCAACTTTTGCACTGTATATCCCTAAACCTTGTATTCTAGGTCTTGTGAAAAATTGTAGCTTATAGAGGAATTGTGTTAGAAATTAAAATAAGGGCTTTTTAGGGGTGGGGGATTTCTTTCTTTTCTTCTTCCCCAGGGGGTGAGGAGTGAGAATCATTGTATTACAGCCACATATTCAATCCATATATCTTTGTAAGAAAGGAAGCACATCTTGAAAGTTGAAATCCAAATTGCTTAGTAGCTAGATGGCTTTTTCATGTACCTGCTATCTTTTTTCTGCGAATATTTACATTACTGAGTTCCATACTCAATATATACTTATTTTTCACTCATGTATTCCTTTTTGTTATTTTCTGAATTCTGTCTTGCTATTGTTGCTAAGGAGTAGAAACCACAGGAGGTGTTTTTGGTCTTCTCTCAACATGAATTTTACAACATAAATAATCAACTGTTTTAAGTTCCAGTGTGATTATTAAGTATCTACTCTCATTCATGCAGTGACACTCAGGAAACTTGCTGGATCAGAAGGGAAGGGGACATGGTTGATGTGCAAGAGCTATTTGGATACATTGGCCTCTTCAATCTTTATGATTTTCAAATGGAGAGGACTCATAATAGCACATGCTCTTGGGTATTATCTTATTTTCCTGAAGTCCCATCTCTCACAGCAGTGCTTTCTGATGCAGGGTGGCCGCGGAATGCCATGGGACTGAATCTTCTGTTGAGTTTGCAGACTCGCAATCTGTTGGGAAGTTGTGCTGCTAAATGCTTTGTGAGGGAGGATTCTTCTTTCGGATTATTTTTGGCATGTAATATACCTGCACAATATTTTTGTGGAAAATTTTATGTAAAATTACCAAGTAGGGACCATTTGATGTTCCTTTTCGAACGGATGGAGATTCCCAAAACTATGTTGTGTTTTGGAGAAAATAAAACTTCTTCTCAGAGGTGTGGACAAGTGCAGAATTATATGGAAGCGGCGGTTTTTATTGTCGTCGCTAATAAGTGCACAAAGGACTTTTTCAACGCTTAGCGGCGGAAAAAAGCTTACTAATACCACTTACATGATCAGGAACCCAATCGTCACAGCATATGTAAATCTGTCATCTTAGATAAGACTGCCTACTTTCTACTAATTGAATTGTTTCTCCTCCTGTTTTACTTTGACATTTATTTTCCTTTCCCTAAAACATTATAGGCAATTTAGTAAACCGCCAAAAACAATTTGTTTACCATTTATTCAGTGCAGGCATATGGAGTTCTTTATGTCTAGTTGTTTAGTTCAGTTGCTTCTGGGCTCGTCTAACTGAGATCACAACACTAGTTGCCTTAGCAAGTAGGTGCTTCACCAAATACCAAGGTCAAATATAATTTGATAAGAGTGCTACTATTTTCATCCACCTTGTCTTATTTCCCCATCCACCTTATCTTCAAAATTTTAAAACAAATTTATCCATTTGTAAAATGACTTTTAAGGACTTAAGGATTTTAAAAAAAAGATTTTCTATTTAAACCCCAAACTTCTCTTAGTTCACCCCAATACTTAAATCATTAAGCTGTAAGTTTTATTATTGTGTAAAAAGACAAAAAAGGTCATCCAACTTAATAATTAACCCTATTACATCTATTCACACACCCCACACACCCCACCACTCTTCATATTAAGTTTTAGAAAAATACGAACTCCTCTACATCTTATTGCCAGATTATTATTCCCAACCACAAGCTCCTTCCAACTTCCTGTTTACAAACTCTCTCTCTCTCTCTCTCTCAAGTTCTCAACTCAACAATACCCAAGTGTTGGAATTCCAATTACAGTTCTTGGAGAGAGGTAAAGTTGTTCTCTTTCTCTGTATTAAATTTTAGGTTTGGGGTTCCATTTGTTTGTGTTTTTTTCCGTTGAGAACAAAGAAAATTGTGGGGTCTAAATAGAAAATCTCTTTTATTTCTTATTTTTTCAGTTTAGGGTGTATTCAAGGGTAGTTTGGGAAAATAGTGGAGTTTTCTTAGAAATTGTGAATTTTTAAATTAAAAGATGGATGAACTTAGAACATGGGGTGGACTAAGAGCAGTGTGGGGTTTAAATAGAAAATCTATATATAAAAAACACCTATTCTCCTTCATCCTTGTCAAACCCCAACCCCTCCCTTCTCTCCCTCATCCCAACCAAACCCAAATCAAAATTCCAATAAAGCTTCAAAATTTCCAACTGGGTCCAATCCAATTCCATCATATTTCTCCTCAGTTTATGAACCCAAGGGCACAAGCTTTCTGTTCCATTTGCTCAATTTGCTCTTCGTCTTCTTTCTAATTATGGCATTTCTCTCCGTTATTATTTTCGTTCGGTGGAGAGACGATGAACATTGAAAGTGATTTTCTTCATTTTTTTTATTTTTAATAATACTTTACAGATGATCCCACAGGGGTTGAAGGTTTGAAGCATGCTTTGAATGAAAGTATGAAGAATGTGCTTGAATTAATAATTAAAGGGTATTTTAGGAAGAATGGTGTGTGTAAAAATAGGATTGTGTGTTTTCAAAGTTACATGGTGGGTAGGAAGATAAGGTGAGTGGGGAAATAGGACTTGAGGGTGGGGGGGAGGGGATTGAAAATAACAATAACAATAAATGTAATCTGTTTATTTGAATTTCACTTGGACAGTTGTGTGAGAAATTCTTGAATTTAGAGTTGAGATTGATATTTTAACAACATAGCACAAGAGAACACTACTGCTTCTTCGCTACTACCCTCCATTTGGATGAGGGAAAAATGACTTAGAATTTAGCTAAAAGTCGGGAATTTAAAAGAAGAAATTGACAATTTCCTTGTTTGGTAACTTAAGCTCGGAATTTATTAAATGAAGCGCAGAAAAATTCGTGGAAATTGAGGCATCAAATTCCCAAGTTTAATTTCCACCAAAATAAGCGTCATTACACAATTTCCATAGTGCCATTTACAAAATTTTGTCATACAAAATTCGACATACATAAATTCAAACACTAAAATCTTCAATCGCCAGAAATTAAAATGATGGAAATCTAAATTCCATCATTTTAGAATTCTATGTAATTTTCAATTCCTTCATCCAAACGAAGGGTTTCAACGCCAAAATTTGCATTTGTTCTTATGTCCCTGTAGGCATCAAGGTTTGTTTTGAATGAGAGTGCAGAAGGTCTAGAAACTGACAGTCATATATAATTCTATCAATGTTTGAAGATCCAATTTGAATTCTAAAAATAAAGGCAACTGTTGTTTAGTTGATCATCTCATGTGTTCTCCAGGTCGCGACACTGACACCCTTCAATTTTCAATTCACCTAAACTGGCTGTAAATCTAGCAATTTCATGTGCTTTTTTCTTTAAGAAGTTCTTCTGCTTCTTCTTGGTAAAATGAACGTGTAAATTAGACCAATAGAGAGCAAGAGTAACAAGCCTAGCAGGCCTCAGCAATCTGTAAAGTTAGCCCTAAGTAGACTTAAACTTCACAGAAAATAATCTACACCTGAATGGTAGTAGTTCTCTGATTTGCCAAAAGTAAATATAGGTACGAAAAAATCAACAGGTATGCAAAAATATAAAAGAAATAAAAGCGTGTTACACAAGAATTCAACATACGTATACACTAACAATTTATTACCAAAAAAAGAGAGGAAAAAAGCGTACTTACTTGACCACCACACCACACGCTACACTTGATGAGCAAGTGTATGTAGTATTTTTTTTTTCTTGTACAAGCTAAGCAATATGAATGTTTCTAGCTTCAGACACGTCCCAGTCCCATTGATATAGAAAATCAATTTAGATGGAACAAATTATTGAACCAAACTCAAACGTTGACAATTTGACATTATTAAAGTGTGTATATAAACAAGAATCCTCGTTACTCGATTCCATCAGTTGCAAAACTGAACCTTGAAGAATTTCAAGCATGGTCAAGAATGCTAGCTGCAACCCTGTTTTTTGTCTCTGCTTCTTGTTCTTACTGTTTTGGTCTACTTTCTTGGCCACAGCACAGACCACCCCAGTTAACGTTGGTGTGGTTCTTGACTTCGATACCGGGTTTGGGAAGAAGGGTCTTGTTGTGAAAATGGACAAACACTTTCACTCACTCCCCTAATGATCTTGTTGTTGATGGACTTTGTGACACACACAATGATGGATGAAGCACACACACACACTTGAGACAACAACCAAGCACAAAGTGACACAAGAATTTATAGAGGTTCAGCAATTGCCTACATCCTCTTGGTGATCCCCTTGAGAAATTCACTTCATGAAAGAATAAGTTACAACTTTGGTTTTACACAGAAAAACCCCCTTAGAACTCTATTCTCTCCCCAAGCTCTCTTTTCTCTCACACCCCTTGCTCAACACTTTGATGCACTTGTGAACACTCTCACAACCCTTGGTGTTTCCCCCCTTTTGTGTCTAGACTCTCATGACTGCAACACTTCCTCCCTTGATGATTAAAACACCCTTGATGGTATTACAATTACCCTCACCCTTTGTGAACTTAATCACCCCTTGGAGAATAAAGACCATCCCTTGATGAACTTAACCACACCTTGGTGAGATAACCTCCATTGGAACACAATAGCTCCCAGCTACTTGACCACCTGAGATTAACCACATCCCTTGAGGAATAAAGAGCACTCCCTTGGTGAACTAAGTCACCCCTTGGTGAAC